TGATACCTAAACTTTAGTTAATAGCATAACGATAACTTAGTTTTAGCATAAATGTTCCCAGAGTACCAAAATTTGATCCATACCGTAGTCTGTGTAGTCCTTGATAATCTAGATTTTCTTTTTACTCTGTCAAATTTATTGATCCAACTTCGCATCACTCTACTTTTCTTCCCACCACCTCGTTTTTTAATGCCTCTTGCGACTACTGCCTCCCCCATTTCATTCACAATTTCAATTTTATCCCGTTCCTCCATATTCAGATTTTTTTGATTTTGCAAAGGTTGCTCTTCACTTTCTGAGAGGAGGAGCTCAACTCTCTTTGCCAAATCGGATATGACAGTGATTGCTACTTTGCTGGTGTCCTCCGACATTGCTGCTCGAGTTGCGACCTTAATCATGGCTGGAGCGAGCTCCCGATAACGAGTTGAAATCATTATTTTAGGATCAGCCACAACTTCCCGTCTTCGCCGATCAAAACAGTCTCCAGCCCGAGCTCTTTTTGTCCATCGCCTCTTAATATATTCAGGAGGAATTATTTTTATGCCCACAGTATCAAATACCTTCAACGCGTGCCCACATAAAATGCCTTCATTCTCGTATTTTTTGCAACTACAACATACACTTAGATCATTCCGATTGAATACCACTATTCTTTCAGGTCCTCCATCATACCTCATGACCGCAAACTCCACAATCATCGCTGCATCTTGCTGTCTCAATATAACCATAGCTGTTGACTCGCCATATTCATTTTGGAATGCAACAAATACGGTTGGTGAATACGTCTCTGATGCATGCACGAGCATAGGTGTTTGCCTTAACCCAACCATGGGGAGCTTTTGCCTCATTTCATATTCTGCGATCAGTTCATTATGTCTCTTTTCATCAACCACCCGATTGAAATGTCTAAAGAACTGCACAAGGTCATGATCCAGTTTCAAATGATTTTTAATTGCTGCATTTAGGCTTTCGCTAAGTTGGGTGCTTCGCATTCCCGCGGTCCATCTTTCTTTCATCATGCACCTTGCCCATTTATCACGAATTCTATACAACCCGGAGAGCCATTCATTATTTTCAAGATTGTGTTTCTTCACCATCGCCTCCCACATCCTATTGAATTGTTCCACTTCTTCAAACTCATACATGCATGCACCAAACATGTATGGAAGATCACTATTTTCCTTGTAGTGATTGCCAAGATGTTTCATAAAATTACGCCTTATGTGAAACGTACATAGACCGTGAAATGTTTCAGGCATAACAACTGAAAGAGCGGCTGCCATGGCGTGATCTTGGTCGGTTAGTATGGTACTTGGACGCTTTCCGCACATTGCTTCTAGAAATGTACCAAACACCCATTTGAAAGAATCTATAGTCTCATCATACATAAGGGCAGCACCGAATATCACAATTTGCCTATGTTGGTTAAAACCCACAAACACTCCAAGTGGCCGGTATTCTTTATTTGTTTTGTAGGTTGTGTCGAATGTGACTACATCTCCAAAAAATTTGTAGTCAATTAACATTCCTGCATCAGCCCAAAAGATATTCGTTATCTGCTCTTCACAGTCCAGCTGTACGGCATGAAAAAACGATGGATTCTCGAGTGTTTGCTCTTGAAAATAATTCAGCATGCTACCTGCTTCTCCATATTTCAAACTCCTTTCCCGTCGAGTACGAAGATATCGTTTCAGGTCTTCCCGAGTATATCCCACATTTCCCATCCCACTTGCCTCCTTTCCCATAAGCTCATGACTCTGTTTCAATGAAAGCCCAGCGTCCTCGCTTATTTCAGCTTGGAATCCTTGAGCCTCGCTCACTTTTCTTTGTGATGGCATTATGTGCGCACATTGAACAATGTGCAACTCATGGTTATGCTCTAAGACAATGTCATGCACACGGTACTTCATTGTTCCTCTAAACAACACGATAACCATTTTAGCTCCACACCCTGTTTTCGTCGGCGCTCGTGTCCTCTTTGGCATCACATCACCTTCGTACTTGCGCTTTACACCTTCCTTGCAGCAACTATATCTCCTAGACGTGGTCACGCCGTCTTTGTCTTTATTCAGATAGTCTTTACGTACACTAAAACCCATTTTAAAGGCATATTTGTTGTAAAACTGGTACGCATCATCTTCGATGTTGAACTCCATTCCTAATTCAGGGGTCCCATCTTCTGCCAATTTGCTGCAATCCATTACTTCTGATCCTGCCAATTATGTATCAAACACCCTAATTTGCAACACTTCATGAATAGTATGTACATAAACGACAACATATATGTATATTACCATTCATAATGTGTTATGAATCATACATTACTCGTATACCAAATTCTATTATTACGCTATCAATATGATTAATGATTCACATCACCTTACTTTTATCTAAGACAATCTGTGTACAAATACAACTCCATGTAGACTAACTTATACGGATTGTAATGTATTGGTCACACGATGTAAGTCTATTTTAACTGTATGTACATCCACGCTGGTGATTATATTTTGATTCTAGATTTTTTAGCTCACTGGACCTTATGTCATTCGTTAATGACAACCGCATAAAATAGACTAAATAGTCTGTGTCTTTATTTAAATAGTCTTTGCGTACATTAAATCCCATTTTAAAGGCATATTTGTTGTAAAACTTGTACGCATCCTCTTCCATGTTGAACTCCATTCCTAACTCATGAGTCCCATCTTCTGCCAATTTCTCTACAATTCATTACTTCTGCTCCTACCTTCTATGCATCCAACACCATAATTTATAATAGTTCATGAATAGTATGTATGTAAACGACAACATAAGTGTGTATTACCGTTTATAATATGTTATGTTACACACATTACTCGTATACCAAATTGTATTATTACTCCCATCGATATGATTAATGATTCACATCACTTTACTTTTACTCTAATACAATGGCATTATCTATGTACAAATATAACTCCATGTATACTAAGTTATACGGACTGTAATGTGTTTTTCACTCCATGTAAGTCTATTTTAACTATATGTACATCCACTCTGGTGATTATATTTAGGTTCTAGGTACTTTGTTTCATTGGACGTTATGTAATTCGTTACTGACAATCGCCTAAGCCAATTCCTGTGCATTTTCTACTATTTCTACATTTTCAGGGCCAAACAAGCATTTTTTACTCATTCTAATACATTTCTTACATCATGTAATTTACTTAAAAAACCAGGTACATCTATTTATTATTCACATATATCTTTTCCTCTGCTTTTCCTAGGTCAAACCCCAGACCTCCATTTTATACACACTGCATACTCAACAGAGGGGCAAACTAAGATTGCGTGATGACCATGGACCAACTAGTGGATGCACAAAGATTGTAATAGGGTGGTTATAACCTGTAACTTATCTACAGCAGCATGTACATTCATTCACTTGTTAAATAGTTCATCACTGCAAAACTGCACACGCTCTCACACACACATACAGTACACATTGACTATTCTTCTATTATCTTCATATTATGTCTTTATTGAATCTAACATTCAGAAAAGTTGCTGGTATAAGATTCACAAAGTTGTTGATATGGTTGAATCACGTTACCTTGGCCCGTTGAGAGCTTTTTGTTTCACCGAATGCCCTTATGCACAGTTGCTTCTGCTATTAAGTTGCACAAAAAATGGTGGGCAACGTCAGATAATGAATTTCCTCTTTAATTCGCTTCTACCTTGCCGGCTGTCTTGCCCGCATTGCTCATACAATTTCTGAAGACATCGTTGGCCTTCTTTTACAGCATTCTAACTGTTTGCCTTCTTCCTTCTTCTTCTGATGCCATAACCCAACTCTCTCCACCTAATTTCACGTCAGCCAAGCAACAATGACATACCGAGCTTGCTTTCTTCTCTCGATTTTGGTTTGTGCGGCTAATTCAAATTTTGAACTTCAGTTTCAAAATTTCAATTCTTCCGTTTAGAGGAAACGGAGTCCGTCAATCTTATTTTTTTCCTTTCGTCAAACGGTGACGTTTTTTTCCTTCAAAACAACCAGTTGACGTGGCTTATTTTGCTCCATTCCTTTCTTTCTGTGAGGGGACCGTTCAGGAGCGGTCCTCAGAAGGACCGCTCCTGCCCCGTATCCGCATTATCATCCCTCACTCATCCTCCATCACATTGCCTTATCATCAATTCTTAAATTGGTGAAATGACGTGACAAAATCTTATTTTAGACTCATCTTGCATCACATTTGCCCGATTATGAACTCTTGAATTGGTGAAATGGTGTGACAAAATTTGGATCACTTGATTTACATGGACCAAATTTACTCCAAATGTTTGTCTTCCCTTCGAGTTTCTTTCAGCTATCTTACCTATATTTTGTTGGCAAACATTTCGATAGATCCGATCTGTATAGTCCGATCTATGTAGACCATGTGATCCAATTTTTACCACACCATCTCACCAAGTTTCCATTTATGGTTGTTCTGCCCGTTTTAGCTTGAATAAATCTTCTAAATGAATCTTCTGATGAAACTTCACACTTAAGTTATGTTATAGGAAAAAAGATTCTTGCATTTTTCCCTCTTGTTGAAAAAGCATCTATTTTTCCACGCATTTCTCAAAAATATTTCAATTGGTACACACAAGAAATAGGCCAATTCAGCAGCCTTTTGTTCAATTTCTTATGGAATCAAATTTTCATTAGTACAAGTCACTAACTTTTGAATTGGTGAGATGCTGTGTTAAAATTTGGTTCACGGTCTACAAGACCAAGTATAGCCAAGTTTAGCTTTTGCCAAAGGGAGAGATTGAGAAAGAGAGAATAGTAATTTTTTGGGTAACTTTTTTGTCTCCTTTTTTTATTCATGTGTTTTATTTTTAAATATTTGCACTCTGTTTCAATGAAACTTGAGGGTTACCGTGGTCGTTTGCCATAAAAGGGAAGGTGCTTCAATATTGAAAGTTTCAAGCATGTTAGTGGAAATTGTTTAAAAAAAAAAAAACTCAGGAGAGGTCTATGAAATTATCCCCCTTAAACAATTTAAAAAGGAAATCGTTATTCCATGGATAAAAAGCACAAAGAGCAATGCGTACCAAGTCAAAAATACAAAGATTGGACCTTGGAATCAAACATCCACGCAGGAATTTCAACCCAAGCCCACGTATAAATTTTGTCAACCAACTAGATACCATGCATGCCACTGGCCATTTGGTCCAGTGATCATCACTCTCTTTAGTGATGCTGGAGGTCAGGGGTTCAACCTCTGCCTCCCACAAACTTGCCACCTTACGTGGCTGGTCTTCTGTCCCCACGGAATAGCTCGAGCGGTCCGCTCCCCCTACTTAGGGTATGGCGACCTTCCTGATTTATTCAGGGTTCGAGTCCCGTTGTTAACGTGCTCGGTCTCTCCCGGGCCGCAGGGGATTAGTCGGACCCCGTAAGGATTGAGCCGGACACCCCTGTGTCGACAAAAAAAAAAAACTAGATACCATGCATAAGAAAGGTAATAAGAACAACTGAATAGGAAGGTTATACAATAAATTGAGGGAAACAATTGAACCCTAATACATAGCCTAAGCTATAACAGCAGTGATTATGCTTCAAACATCCAGCTTTCAGATTAACTCCACAATGGCAACAATACTGGCTACTCTATACCAACCATATCCAGGAAGAGCCAAAAATTGAACTCCTCAGTGTTTCATTCCCTTTTCTTCCCATCTGTTAAAAGCAGCATAAACCCTTCTAGAGATACAGAAGCTAGTCGGTAACTAATGGAGCTAGAAGATAACATCACAGAATCAAATTTGTTTTGCCCTCATTTTTGATTACCTAATATACACTCCCAATGCTGTATATTTAGAAGTAGTTATTTAGTTTGACATGTACCTGCAGCATGCTTGTCAGCTAATCTGTTGAGATAAGAGGACGAGAAGCCCTTGTGGACCTACTAATATTTCATTAAGGAAGCTGATCAACCCGAACCAGACTACAGGTGTTACATCAACTCCACCTAGGGGTGGAATCAACCTGCGCGTCGGAATGAGAAGTGGCTCGGTGGGCGCATATGCTATGAAGTACGGAAACTTTTCAACAGGCAGCTTCGGGTACCAGGACATGATTATTCTCAGGATGAACAAAAAAGAAAAAGCTGAGAGGAATGGCCCGAGAATTGCAATTGCCACTTTTGCTGTAGCGGGGTCTAAATCTATTATTACCAAACTTTTGGTCAATGCTTCTGTGGCATTTTGCATCTCTGCATTCTTGCTGCTGATGGTATTAATGACCTTCTGTCCACAGAAAGGATTATCTGACATAAGTGGTTGGAGGTCTATGCTTGGAGGAGAAACTCCTAGAAAACAACATACTCTGCTTCCCATACCTTGCAAGTTCCTCTTATTTATTCTGGGAGGAAACTTGAAGTCTGCCTGCAACATGGGATACATAAGAACATTAAGTTTGAAATACAGGTTCATAGTTTCCAAGGTATGCCTGCAGTGCAATAAAACCTAACTAAACATAGTTTGAGAGAGACAGACAATGATATCTAGAGTTTCTGCACGCCGCCATGTCTCATACTTCTTGAATCAGAATCCTAACTTTTAACAACAATAATCAAAAGAAAATGACTTTATTGATCAAAATGTGCAACTACAATCAATGTCTCAAGTGCTATTTCATACTTCCGTTCTAGGATACAAGTGAAAGGTACATTGAGAATCCAAAAGACGAACTTATCTATTGTAGTAGAAAATATTTCATGCCCAAATATCTCATTCTTGAACATTTTAACTACCATAAAACACATAATGTCCCATTTTGTAACAAGTAAATCCTCCGAAAAAGTTGCGGGTTCATACAAACATTAACCTCATTTCTCCACCTTACAATCAAGGGCAAAACTACAACCATACCAGCAGGAACTAAACTACAAAAAATAAAAAATTGTAAACTGGATGAACTCAGTAAACATAGATAAAGGGGAATTTCATCATTAAACAATTTAAAATGAACTAATTCAATTAGCGATGCAATGTGCAACAAATAAGTAAAAATCAAGGGCACACACAGCCACTGCAATGAGTTACTCTCGCTGTTGCCAAGCCACTTCTGTGGAACTCAATCCTAAACTATTTGGACCCACCTTTTAAGCTAAACCTGAATGTATCTTACTCAGCATCTGAATTGATCTAAATTCAACACTTCTATTTTTAAAGAAAAAAAACCTCAAATATAACCTTTGCTGCAAAAATAACATATAATCTATCACCAAAATAAGAAATACGACCACAAAGTTAAGAGTGGAAAACCAGCAATGTAAAGTAGGTGGTGCCAGATAATGTGGAATTGCTAAACTTTGGCAACAATCAAAACAGAAGGTAATGATTACGACTACAGTTTTCAAGCATCGAGCAATACACAGTGTAACAACCAAAGTTACAGTAGAAGATACTAAATATAAAGTGCCCTCCACTGTGGCTTCCCAACTGCATTCAAGGTCTCATTAGAAAGAATGAGCAATTTTTGCATGAGTCTATTAGATATTAACAAAAAATTTGATGTCATTTCAGACTTCACTAGAGAAACATTTTCTACTTTCTTCTAGACTATATTCCACAAGATTTGCATAATTTGTGATGCTGCAAATTGGTTACCAGAAAGGAAAAACCACAATGAGACTACTAAATTCTTTTCCATGGCGGGACCAAAAGCAAGCCAACTAGTTAAGCAAGAAGGATTAAAAGCTCAATCAACAACCAGAATAAAGAAATAAATAGATTGAAGCTTGCCAAGATAATAGTAGTAGTACAAACAGTGAAACCCCTCTATATCGGAACAATGGTATGTGAAGCATCCCAGGATCAAACCCAAAAATGCAGTAGTGGTAGTAAAACTTTTTGCAGAAAGTTAGACGACCCACAGTAGGTTATATCATCTGTACAAGCTTAAAAATCTAAATCTTCAAGCATAGAATCGGTAGTGTATTTGAAAAGTGAATAGGACTTAATTTAGAAGGCGAATGCACTGCTAGCGCCTACTTCCAAGTGGACAATAAATTATAGGAAAATTTTAAGGTCCCTTTTGAGGTAGCATTCCCTCAATTTATATCCCTGATGACGATAGTAGTTTATCTTTTGAATGATCGAAATTGTCACAATCTAAGGGTGAAAACCATCCAATGGTGAATCTAACATAACCATATGACCATAGAACCTCCCTAAATTAAAATGTCCCACAGAATGTAAGGAGGAGTACATGTACATTAATTGATTACAAGTTACCAAAGTAAGCAAATTATTTCTAAAGAACAAAACTACCACAACAGTGGAGCATTAGACTGTGCAAATCAGTAAAGAAACCAACTTGTAATTTATTCTGCTGCAACTTGTAATTCATCCTCTTTTTCTCTTTCTTTTACTTTTCTATTTTGTTTTTTCAAATTGTCGATCATATCATTGACACTATAGTGTAAATCCAGGACTGATTCACATTTTAAACTCGTAAAAAAAAAATTCATTTAGAGATGAAACCCACATGCAATAAAATCTTTCGAGCCAAGAACCCATTTTTCATTTTTCGTTCTTGAAACATTATTTAAAACAAAAATACAAGAATAACCATCAACAACTGCTGCAATAACGTCAAATAAAATCAAGAATTCACATTAATCAATCAAAAAAATTTCCTTTTTTTAATAAATTAACGAGGACTGAGGAAGCAAAGAACCTTACCAAGTGCAGAATCAGGACGAACAATGGATGCCTTAGGCATGAGAGCGGCACACACCACTGAAGAGGTTGTAGTATAAGCAGTGATGGAGGCCATCTCTTGGTTTCAGGGGAGGACTGAAGTTGTAAGCAGGTGTATCACTTTGACGGGGTTTTCTTGGTTGTAAGCAACTAGACAGGATGGCTAGGCAGAGATAGACAGCCCATCATCTTTAGAAGCCCAACCAAATTTTGCCACGTGTAACATTATGGGTTGCTAATTACTACCAGATAGAAAATATTACACGTGAGGGAGAGGGAAAGGAAAAAAGGAAAGTTCGGAAAAAGGGATAGGAAAATTCAAAATTTGGTAAGTTTTGGGAAATTTGTATTTATTCAAGAATTATATATATATATATATATATATATCATGAAATCACTTTGTGAACATACATCGTCTATGTACATTTGAATATAGATATGTGCACATTTATAAATTTAATTGTGCACATACACGTGTGCATTTAAATGTGCATATGTGAGTGTGTGTGTTATATCATGAAATCACCTTGTGAACGTATATCGTATGTGTACGTTTGAATATAGATATGTGCACATTTATAAATTTAAATGTGCACATACACTTGTGCATTTAAATGTGCATATGTGAGTGTAAGAATGAACATTTTTTTGTTCATTGAAATGCACATTGACAATTGAGTGTAGATTAATTAGCAAAGTGCTGTTATTCAATAAAATGCACGCCTATACAAGAATGGGTTAGTCATTTAGTGATAGATTTATTACATATTCTAAATTTTCAATCCATGAATAGTGATATACGCTTGATTCACAGATTAATCAAAAGTTAGGCTCTTCTTATAAAATTTTAATTTTTTAATTTGCATTTTCCAAATCTTCATTTCAAAATATTAGGCCTCATAGATTTAGGGGAGATATATGTAATGGATTAACTTTTCCTACACTGACAGTGTATACACTGTCAGCATTGAATGAATGATAACTATGTAAAATTTGAATTTGAAATTCAATTTTTGCACATATGTCACGGATCCAACGGTGATAGTATATGCACTGTTAGTGTATGTAAGATTTACTCATATGTAATTTATCCAATAGATTAAGAAAAAGTTACTTTACAGTTTTTAATCTAAAACAAAATTCAATTTCTGTTTGGCAATGCTTCACAATATCCACAAATTTAAGGTGACTAAAACCAAATACAATGTAAAGCTACAAAACATAAAAATTTAAGGATTCATAAAGTCCAAAGAAAAAGAAATTTCCATTGACATTCATGTTTTGAAGAAAATAGAAATTAAAGCCAAGACTATTGGTAACTAAAAAGAATTAGGATATGGGATGAACATTGACTAACCAAATAAGGATATGCAGCTATTGTACTTTGTAATTAACTTTCACTAAAATTTTATCTCTCAAGAGTTAAAGAGGATATGCTTTCTTGGAACATAAATGTTCTTGTGAAATGACATAAATAAACAACATACCATTGAAATAGGTGGCAATACAATAGCACTAGATGCAGTGGTGGAGTCAAGATTTTTATTTAGGGGTAAATTTATGTGTGTGTGTATATATATATTGTCAGTTTAGTAGTGTAGTTTTAGAACCAATAAATGGCTTTTTTTTCTTTATTTTTTTGGACACCATGATATCTAATTGTAATCAAAGTAAAAAATTTTTAATTAGATTTCTATTTTTTGTAATTGGATTATTTAAATAAAATAATAATAAAATTAAGTGTATGAAATATAATGAGTAAGCTATATATTTATTATTTCATCAACATATATATTAATGTACTTATTAAAATAACTATTCATTTCTCTGTTTTCTCATTCTTCATCATCAACCATATAGACTAAGTGTGAAAGCCGGGGTTCCACATCGGCGTCATCGTCCTCAAGTGTGTCGCAGGGTGATTGTAGGGCTGTCAACGGTTCGGGTCTGGACCCGGACCCGGACGGATTTGCCGGGTACGGGTAGGTATATTGTTCCGGGACCAGGACCTGGACCCGGACCCGTTACCTCTAATAATTTTACGGGTCGGATACGGAATATACCATTCCGACCCGTATTCGACCCAGACCCGTTTTTTAATTAATTAATAATTAAAAATATATACCTATCTCTATCTGTCATAATTATTACCACGTTACTTTCATTCCCTCATTTGTTCAACCCTAATACCCTCTACCCATTTCCGTCGCACTCTCCTCTTTTGCTCCCTACCCATTTCCGTCACCTCCAGACTCCCGAGTCCCGCCTCTGCCTCCCGACTCCGGCGACGTTTCTAGTTTGCGCTTCATCCCCAGCTCCAAAGAAATCGCTGGGTCTGGCCGGCTCCAAAGAAGCAACTCAAGCAAGACCAGCTCTTCCGTGAGACCTTTTCTTTTGCTCTACCTCCGCGGCTCTGCCAGTCCGCCGTGGTGCCTGACGGTTGCAGCAAGCCCAGCTTCTAGTTCTACCAAGTAGCAAGTCAACTTTCTCTCTCAGTCAGGTATTTTTTTTTAATTTTTTGTAGGGAAAATTTGAGAAGATATGAGAAATGCTGTAGAACGAAACCTTCTTACCTCCCCAAACCAAAAAAAAAAAACATAAAGTCTGAATGGAGTAGGAAATTCCAGGTTGATGATGTCGAAAATTGTGGATATATTTGCCATTAAATTAGTTTTTTTTTTGGGGATTGGGTAATAATCGTCCAGTCCAATTATGCTGCCATAGGATTTGTCCTCGTGTGTCGGGATGCTGTTGTCTATAATTGAATATAAATTTCAAATGGTTGATGCACACACGAATCTGCTCAATTTGTCGCCTTCTCGGATTGTCAATTAACAAATCGAAGAGAAAGGAACTTTCATTAAGGACCAGATCTTATCTCAGAGGTGTTTCTGTATCGGATTGAATTGTTCGACAACAAATTGCTACTGTAAAATGTTTACATAATTCACTTTACGTAACAACATTATTAAAAATAGAGAGAGAGAGAGACTTTAGGTAATTTCTTTGTGTACTAAATTAGAAAACAGACGCAGAGTGAAGGATATGGAACTTGATTCATTTCTAGCAAGGAAGGCAGGAATTTGATTCATGCCCTGAACTAAATATAATGAAAAACTTGTCTTGTTTCCCCTCTATTAAAACTGCAATTTGGTGTTATCATAATCAATGCAATGGCTTGCTAATGATAAGACTTCGCATTGAGCTTTGCTGCAGCTTATGTGTTATAGTCCTATAAAAACATAATAACAAGGCCAGTTAATACCTTAATGAGCTTTACTCTTCTAATATGGCTGGAATGTTAATAAACTCAAGAATCTAGTGCATGATAAATTCCTGCAGCAGGTTACTTACACTGACCTTTCTCATTTCTGCTTTTGCTGAGACACTAATTTGGACTCTTACTGCTGACAGTACTTTATTTGAGTCTTAATGTGTGTCTGGATTGTAAATTACTTGAGTCTTACTACTGACAGTACTAATCTGGAGTATTGTATACTGGACAGTACTATCTTATACTCGTGCTTAAAATTTTGCATTCACTGAAGTTTGAATGCGACATTCTAAGGAATTTGTCTTGTACCATGTTTATCTAATAAATTCTGTTATTCACTAATTGCAGGATGTCATCTTTGCCAAGTAATCCAACAGGACCAAGTAGCACAGCTGATGAGAATGAGGTTGCCATTTTGGATTCGGAAGAGGAGGAGGTGAAGGAAGATGATTCAAGTAAGAAACATAGGGAAAAGAAATTAACATCTAAGGTATGGGTTGATATGGATAGAGTTAGGACTGCTACTGGTATTGTTGCCATATGTAAGCATTGTAAAAAAAAATGGCCGGGGATAGCTCATGCGGGACAAGTCATTTGAAAAAACACATAGATAATTGCATTGCTAGAAGACATAGGAGTGGGGGGCAGCAAGTACTTCAATTGGCTAAAAATGCTTTGGATGATAAAGTTAAAGTTCAAACTTTCAAGTTTGATCAAGAGAGAAGTAGAATCGATTTGGCTAGAGCTATAATAAAACACAACTATCCTTTTAACATAGTTGAGCATGAGTACTTTGAGATTTTTCTGAATAATTTGGAGCCAAATTTTAAGCTGGTTTCTCGAAATACAGTCAGGGCAGATGTGATTAGTGTTTATAAAGAAGAAAAGGCAAAATTGTATAAGTATTTGGATGATTTTGATGGTAAGATAAGTCTTACTACTGATCTTTGGGCATCAGATCACCAAAATTTTGCGTATGCCTGTTTGACAGCTCATTATGTCAATGAACATTGGGAATTGAAAAAGAAAATTATTGCTTTTAAATCTGTTCCATATCCTCATGATGGTGAAACATTATTTAGATTTATTTCTGATATCATCTTGGAATGGAACATTGATAAGAAGCTGACCTCTGTTGTTGTTGATAATGCATCTTCAAATGATTCAATGGTTAAATGTTTGAAATCATGGCTATTGGATAAGTCATTGCTCAATTTAGGAGGTGATCTTTTTCATGTTCGATGTAGTGCACATATTCTTAATTTGATTGTGCAAGATGGGTTAGCTATTGTTGGAAAATTGCTTCATAAGATTCGGGAGACCTTAAAGTACTTGAAAAGGTCTACTTCTTCTTATCAAAAGTTTGAGAATGCAATTAATCAATGCAAGCTGAAAAATAAAAAAAGAGTGGGTATGGATGTTCAAAATAGATGGAATTCTACATTCTTGATGCTTGAGACAGCTTTGCCTTTGAAGGAAACTTTTTGTCGTTTAGAACAAATGGACAGAAATTACAAGTTGAATCCTTCAGAAAATGATTGGAAAGTGGCTAGTGTTGTTCATGGTTGTTTGAAAAAATTTTATGAAGCTACATGTCATTTTAGTGGTTCTAATTTTCCCACAGCAAATGTTTTCTTTCACGATATATGTAATATTCGTCTTAAGATGAGGCAATGGGAAGTTAGTGAGTATGATTTTATTCGAGAAATGGCTATTCCAGTGAAAGCAAAATTTGAGAAATATTGGGAAGAATGTTCTTTGGTGCTAGCTATTGCTGTGGTACTTGATCCTAGATTTAAGTTGGCTTTAGTAGAGTATTATTACAATGAGCTTTATGGAGAAGGTGGTGAAAGATATGTGGATAGAGTTCGTAA